AATTCCTGCTAAGGAGGCAGGTGGCAGGACCCAGGCAGAGGAGCCTGCTCAGAGATGGCACTTTGGACGCAGCTGGAAGTGGCTGACCTCCTGGCCAGTTAGGGCCAGGAGGACATGCTTTGACTGTTCAAAGCAGGCCACCACACAGGGAACATCTTCCAGGAGACAGCTGTCTAGATGGCCGGGCAGGGGACACACATGCCAGTAGTGCCGCACAAAGGCCAACTCTGCAGCCACAGCCCACTGGCAGCTGGCCCAGAGGGGCAGATACCTCTATTGGCTGTGCAGTCCCCATCCGGGTCTGGCAGGTGCGCAGCAGGTCACAGCCAGGCAGCAGCCCCCACTGCCAGACCGCTGCAATGGGTAGAGGGTGCAGGCAACTCTCAGGGCTGCTTCAGCAGTCCAGCTGGCACAAGGGGTAGTATCCCCAGGTACCAAATGGCCAGGCCCCAGAAGCTCCTGAAAGTGAATAGCCCTGAGCTACTTGCCAGGGCAGCTTTTTGTACTGATGGGGCCAGGACAGGACAGTTTTTTATATTGCTGGGGACAGCACAGGTGTTGGCCCTGGGTTCTAGCTCCCCCTGGCTGCAGATCTAGGAGAAGCCAGGCAGGGTTATTTTGCCCCAAGTGGCACAATTTGCCCCACACCAAAGCACATGCCTAGGCACATGCGCTGAGGCAAAAAGCCACGGCTCAAATTTGCACCTTCTATTTGAGCTGCTGAAAGTGCATGTGCATGTACATGCCTAGTGTGTGCTAAGAAGCAAACCAAAGACACCGCATGCAAGAGAAGTACTGAGTTTGCACTCAGTGCCATTTTATTGCTTCCTTTCCAGGATTTGGTGCATGTACAGTGGGAGTGAGAAAGTAAGAGTGCTTCATAGTAGCACACAGGGACCCCAGACATACCCACCACCCTGATCTGAACATGAAAACCTGTGGTTTTGGTCATAGTCATTTGTCATTCAGGCTTCAGTCTCTTGTAACTCAGCTACTGACCTCAAGAGAAATGGAAGCCATTCTACTACTTTCAATCTTACAATATTGCAGAGTAGGTGTATAGACGTGTTCTACATGCTGTTGCTCCTTGTTACAGCAAATGACACAAAGAAGGTCTGGGCCTATGTCTATTGTCCTTTAATGTATGATTAGGACTGCAACGTACAGCTCTTTACAATGTTGTCCAGTGTTACAAAGCCCAACAACTTCAATTAAAAATGAAGGGCTCCTGCAGCCTGAACTATACGAGTCCCTCTACCACCCTACTGAGCCTGAAAGTACCACTAAAGATGAAAACCCCGCCCACTTGTTCCCATTCTACATGTACACAAGCCCAGTGATTATGCACTGCAAATATCTTGTGGAGGTTGCAAAGAACCCACCATTGCTGTCAGGCTTGGCAACAGGGGCAGGGTGCACGCTCAGGACTGCATAAACCTATTTTTGCTTCCTACCTGCCCAAGCTGGGAGGACACAAGCCAGGAGTGACTCTGATGGTGGTCCTGGGCTCAGCAGAGAAGTATTAGTGTCTTGCATAGATAAGACAGCTGAATTGGGAACTTCACTGTAACTTAAAGCTGTTGATATCTGTAGCCCTGGAGAATCTCATGCTGCAGTCCAAATCATATATTGAAAGACTATGTGTAATCCCTATAATAAAGTGGGGTCCCATGTAGATTCAAGAACTTGTCTTTATATGATTAGAACCCAATTCTGTCTCAAGATCTTTGACTAAGCATGATATCAAGCATTTATGATGGCAATGGTGAGTCAACTTTTTGGGCAGAAGGCCAGTGACCCAGTTTGGATCAGAAGCATGCAGATGGGTGGGTGCTAGGACCCAGTTGCTACCAGTACTTTACGGCACAGTAGCAGCCAGTGAGCATCCACAGTCACTGCTTTTTCCCAAGGCAGCACTACAAGAGCAACTGCTGCCAAAACTCCCTACCACTGACTGCTACTGAAGCCCTATATCCACGGGTTGGAGCAGATGGCTTCTCAAGCCAGATCCAACCTACAGGCCATAAGCTCCTGACCCATGTATCACAGAATCTTTCTAGTAAAAAGTAAATTTCAAAGGAAACAAAATGTTTGCATGGAAATACATCATCGCAATGCTTACAATACCTGACAGAATAGGGACCATCTTCTTTGAAACAGCTACTCCAAGCCCCTAGCCACTCGCCTGTGACTTTATCAAAAACCTGGATTCTTTTGTTTGCTCGGTCAGCAACCCACACCTATTGTGCACAATAAAAGTGATTATTAAAAAAAAAAGAAAGAAGCTAAATCAAACGAATCAGCTTTTCATACATAACGGGTCAAATACTCTTAAGTACAGAGAACTGGAGCAAGGAAGAATTTCCTCAATATTCATTTTGCAAGCTAAGAAAGTGTTAATGCTCACACAAGAAATTCTTAAGTCACAATTAGATGCATAAATTATCTCCTTCTGCTCCAAGAGACTGACGTCTCATCTTTCCTTCTTTTGTGGACATATTTTAAAAACATTCACCAAAGAAGGTAACTTTTTAACCAAGCACAAGCATACACTTATACACACACACGGAACATGATTATGCAGCTAGTCAGGACTCCCTCCTATATCTAACAAAGCCACATCAAGATAAAACTGTAAGTTTTCAAGGAAAAGACTTATTATTTACCCGTCCAACAGAATCCACTGTTACACTGTGAGGAATCCTGAACTGAGCAGCACCTGTACCATTTTCTGCATGCAGCCACATCACCTTGAAATCTAATGGTTATAACAGTGAAAAAATATTAAGGAACATTCATATTACACTACAGAAGTGAACTGTTTAATTTCTTCCAAATTATGCTTAGCAATATATAAAATTTAAGCCAACACAATCATTTGCCCAAGTCCAAGGGAGCATTGCCAAGAACTTCAATGGTAGCAAAACTATGAGTTTATAATTATGATTATGATAATGAACCAGGATCCCAGAGCATGAGGTTCTGCACAAACACAGAGATGTTTGGAGACTTGTACCTAATTTCAAATCTTACAGTTCATAAGGAAAAACTCCACTTAGTTTTAAATGCAAAAAAGTGCCATTTTAGCATTTAGCTACAATCGTTCAGCTGGTATGAGAGAAAGAAAAATATTCATGGGCAATAACTTTTACTGGACCAACTACATAGCTGGGAGAGACTTGGACAAGCTTTTGAATGCAGTTCATTCTTCTTCATTATTCAGTGTATGAGCATGTTTTTGCTTAAAAGAGAATGCTATTATATAAAAGAGCAAAATACCAGACAAGAGTAGAATGTCTCCATATTCTAATAAAGCTGTTAATGCATAAAGTTTCTCATCCAAAATAAGTGAAAATAAAGGATACGTTTTTGGAAAAAAATATCATAATAGACAACACAAAGGAGGTCTATTTTTGCAGAAAAAGTAATTCATAATAATTAATGCAGTGCATTGATTTAAGATGTATCTGTTGCTTGTTATAAGCAAAGTTTGTTTTCAAGATACACAAATAGACTTGTATCTGAGAAACAACAGTACAGGAGTGTATTATAGGTCCTAACCCTGAAAACACTCACTTTAAATGCTGTTAACTCTAACCATGCAAGCAGTCCAAATCACTTCGAAGGACTTACTCACATGCTTAATGTCAAGCCTCTGTGTACTTGGAGGATCATAACCTTAGTCTTAACCACATCAATTACAAAACAGGTATTGTAAAAATATTTGGATGCTTATGATGTTCCTAAATTACATACCATCTATTGAATTACTATGGCACTTACAGGTTCTAAATTGGAAAAAAACTTATTCTCCTTCATGAACAGTATTAAGCAGACCACAGTTGCCAAGAACAAACCAATACAGATCTGTTACTACAACAAAGCTTAACAATTTCAAATCTCATTTCCTCAGGACCTACTGAAAAGTTCCACTGGTTGTCAGTGCTTCTTATGACTGTAGAAAGTTTTAATTTTACACCATACCAGCTCTGAATGTACAGAAGTTTTAAAAAATGGCCCCTCTTTTTATTGTGGAAAGAAGGAACTAAAAATCAGCGGCAAGACCCCTTAGTTCTCATGTCAAGCTACTGAGGTAGAATCAAGTTAGAGTACAGAGGCTTTTGCTGAGTACAAATATTTACCATCTAATCATCATGGAATCCCTTTTCCATCATATCCACTACCATAGGCTGAGCAAAGACTTTCAATTTGCCATGCATTGTTGCGCTGTTCATGAATAACTACACTCTACAAGTTATGATTAGTACTTTGGCAGCTGACAGAGGAAAAATCAATGGAGAATTCTGACAGCTTCATATTGTAATCATGAACTGCTTGGTGACATACATGCCAGAGAGGAGCAGCACTTTCTCTTCAACTGGAGGCAGAACTGGAAGAAACATCATATATTTTTGTAGGGTTTTTAACTCCTCACCCACTATTCCAGCAACATTAGCAGCAATTTACTTGCTTTAGTTGCCTCTATTTAAAAAAAATCCACTGCATTCAACAATGATAAGAAAACAGCATGAATGTTTCTGCACATAAGGTAGTTAATGAAATAGATCGTGATCCTTAGTACATTAGAATTGATGGAAGCCTGAAACTAACTTCAGTGGACACTGGATCAAACTCATAGTTAGCAACATTGAGGTTTAAAAGTAGCATTATTATGCCTCAAAGATTTCACATATTATACACCATTGGCCAGTTCTGTAAGTTCACATATTACATACCATTGGTCAGTTTGAGTAATCTGTTGTTCAAGCCTCCATCTCCATCTACAATATAGATATCCCCATTTTGATCTACAAATATTTCTGCTGGCTGATCAAACTGCAGTGGAATCAGAGCTGAACCAGGTTTACCAGGGGTGCCCAAGGTTTGCACTGGTTTACCAGAAGTACTGTACTGTTTCACAGTATGTCCATACTTCCCTGCATCAAAACAAAAGGCATTGACATTTCTCAGTAGAACCATGTCTTATAAACATCAACATAGTACTACGAAGATAAAGTCCACTGTCACTTTAATTTAAAAGTAATAAAACTAAACTAAGGCAACTTTGTAATAACTTAATGAGTGCAGATTAATCTATCTGCAAATCATGTACATATAGGATTGGAGCCACCAGAATTGGAAAGAGAACAAATCAGACTGAGATGCAAGCCCCTTTTTTGAATTAAGGGCTGTGAAAGTTTGCCAAGATTATAAGCCATGGCCAATGACCCAAGGATGCAATTCAGAAGCCTTCAAGATTCTGTATTTCGTGCAGCACTGGAGCAGTGTACAACAAACTCAGCACCAGAGAACTGTGAATCTGACTTAACATTCTTAGGGTAGTTTAAAACAGATGCTCAGAGGAATACCTACAAAAGTGTTATTTTCTTCCCAAGCCAATACTTTTAATACGCAACAATCTGACATACCATTTCCAACATCTGTGATCCATACTGAGCTATCAGTACTATTGCTGACTACAAAAATACCATGAGGCATTTCAACTGTAGAATTCCAAGCTTGCCGGAAATCTCCATTCTCTGAAAACACGAGTACTTTTGGCACGTTAACCCCTCGCTGTAAAGTATAAAAAAAAAACCTAATTGAAAAAAAAAAGATCATTGCAAACAGTCTTATTGTTGGCAATTGTCTAATTTTTAGTGTTTTTCATGTGCAAAAACCTTTACAGACACTAACTCATAGTTCTCAGGCTCATGAGGGGCACCAAATATCACTAATCTTATTTCTGCAGCTGGTGAAAGCAAGGAACAGAAAGATAAAAATTAGCGGCTACTCTTACAAAGTTAACTTTTGACATAACTTGAGGTATATATGGTTTGATTAAAGTGGGACAAACCCCTGCAGCTCTCACCGTCTTTACACTCAGGTCTCTCTTTATGCGAGGGTTGCATTCCAAAAAAACCTTGCATAAAGCAAATTTGCATAAAGCGAATCTATTATTGCATGCAATTAATAGGTATACATACCAGCCTCACTCTACTGCCCCCCCCCAAACCATGACAAATTCAAACAGTAATCACACAAAACAATAACTGCTACATGGAGAAGCTGCAAGCTCCATGCTGCAAGCAGCAGCATGCAGAGTTTGTGCATCGCCAGGGCAGTGTGGGGCAGGCTGGAGAGGCACCCAGGGGAGGGAAGCAGACCAGCAGGGAATGCCGACTGTTCACCACTCCTGGCTCCACCCTGCTTCCCTTCCAGCCTGATGGGCGCAATGTGGCATGGCTGGGAACAGTGGGGCTGCATGGAGAGGCTACGAGCTCCCTGCTGCATCGGGTCATGCCCGCCAGGCTGTGGAGGCACCCGGGGCAGGGAAGCAGGGAACAGTGGGGCCGTACAGAGAAGGTGCTTGCCCTGCGCTGCAAGCAGCGACACATGCAGTGGGCATGTCATCAAGGCAGTGCAGGGTGAGCACCTTCTCCACATGGCCCTGCTGTTCCCTGCTCCCGAGCCTCCGCAGTCCAGCAGGCATGACCCAGTGCAGCAGGGAGCTTGTAGTTTCTCTACGCAACCCTGCTGTTCCCAGTTGCACTGGGTCGTGCCCACCAGGCTGGAGAGGCACCCGGGGCAGGGAAGCAGGGCAGTGAGGAATGGTGGCTACTCATCCTGTGCTGCCCTAGGGACGTGCCTCCTGTGCCTGCTGCTCTTTGGGGGGTGTAGCCCCATGCCACAGGAGGCACATAGCCAGGGCAATGGGGTGCAGTGCACTGGGACCAGGCAGGGAGAAGGCCAAGCCGGGCCTAAGATCAGGGCCAGAACCCACTGTGCCTGTGGATCCGCCCCTTCCCCTTGGAAGTATGCATGGCAGTGGGGAGCCAGCCCTCCCCAGCGAGCCAGTGGAGGCTCTGTCCTGCTCCCCGCTGGGGCCCTGCAGCTGCACACTGCGGCCCTGGGCCCCAAGCACCCACCAGCTGGACAGCAGCCTCAGCCCTGCCCAGCTCCTGCCCTACAGGGACCTCAATCCCCCTCTTCCCCCACACTTACCTGTCAGAGCTGCCCTCAAGGCTACTTGTGGTCATGTGCATGTACTGTACACACACGTGGCACCCCATTTCACTGCCTTCCTTCCGCTTCCTCCCAGCTCTCTGCAGGCTGGAACTCTACCAGTGTGCAGGGAGCTCACTGCCAGCCAACTTCACTTAAGATCGGATTATTCTCAGACAAAGCGAATTTCTGGTATAAATATAGTTGTCACATACAAGCAAATCTGCACAAAAACAATTTGCATAAAGAGAGACCTGAGTATATTATTTTGACCTCTGGATTCATTTAATCTCAAGGAGTGGAGGAAAAGAGGTAGAGTAGTAAACTGTATTCAACCTAAAATGGGCCCAAAAGTTTTAACTGCATCTTTTAACTCTGCACCATCCCAAGCACCTCTATATGCTTCCTATACATCTGTCTGATGCACTACTGAAACAAAAGCCAGGATCTAGACTCCAACATATGGAGCTCACTAGCGTAGTTATTTTTTAATGGAAAAGATCAACTGATAAAACACGTCAATTAATCTAAAACTTGGAAGCCTGTCGTGTTCTGGAGCAAGATGTCTAGGCCGCCTCCATTACTATTCTTGTGACCTCACCTCAATGTGATCAATAACACCCAGCAAAAAGTTAACTGGCTGTATGACAACACTATTCATTATCTGTAATAACTTAAAAAGACTTTAAGATGTATAAAAGCAACAAACCTGTAATGTCTCATTAGAACTTTCACATCTAGGGCTACTTAAAAAAAATTGTACATTAGCATAAAAACCTCAGTCTTTTTTTTTTTTTTTTATATAAAGAATAACTACTTGCTAGACATATTTTCATATAAAAGCAAATGTGAATGCCAAAGGAAAAACCCAATACAATACCAATTAGAACAGAAATCCAGTGTCTTTACTTACTTGTGCAACATAGACCAAATCACTGATAGGGTCAACGCCAACACAAAATGTTTGACCAGTGAAGTATTCTGGAAGTTTAGGCCAGCTTACATCCAGTTTATATAATTGTTGCTCTATCATCCAAGATGAATAGAATGTGATTGTCCTTAATACCTTAACATATAAAAGTAAATGTCCATTAACAGTTGAGCAGTAATTTTGTGCAGTCCTTTAGTATTTTATTAGTTATAACTTGGGGAAACTATTTTAAAAAGTACAAAAAGACAGGTAAGTAACCAAGGGCCTTGTTACATGTTACATTGTGAGCCACACAAATGTTGATTGGCTTAGTGCTATCTTGCAGTCACACCTTCAACTTGAGCTGCACATCTGTGGGGAGCGGCTGCGTATGTGGAACAGGAGCTGGGTTATGCAGATTAAAAGAAAATCCTACCCTGGAGTAGTGTAACTTTGAGCCACATAATGAGTGCCCTAAGCCACTTAAAAGTGTTAACATGCAGAAAATCCAGGTGTTAAGACCTCTAGGAGCTGCCTAAAATTAACGCGCAACAAAAACTCTCCTCGACTTTCAATGGACCATCCATCTAACTTTTACCTAAGCCTTTGAAGAATTCCCTTTTAAAAAAGTCAAGTGAAGCAACACATTTCAAAAATGTAAATCAAGTATGTACCCCCTTAGTATGGGAGACTGGCTTTCCAGAAACAAGGTAGGGTTAACTAAATTCAGATAGGCATAAAGCTCTCACAGGCAACAGGTTACTTTGTGAGATGCTATGATGGACCTGTAGAGTACAACAGTTTTAAACAGAAAGCAGTAATTTAAATACAAAAGGTAGGGAAGGGAGAGGGAACACTACTGTGAGAGGCAAAGAACACTGCTATGGTCCTGAGCTGCGGCAAAGCCTCAATCCGCTGCCAGCATGCCCCTGCCTGGATCCGGAGCAAGCTGCCCCCATTGCAAGATCCCAGTGGTTTTGGAGCAGCCCCCTGCTCTATTCTGCCCCACACTCTGGCAGCACAGCTGGGGCTGGTCTCCACGGCAACCCCAACCTTGAGCTTTCACAGACAGCTGGGTCTCCATGGAGACCAGCTCCAGCCATATGCAGGGGCTGCTGGGAAATGAAGTCTGGCTGCTGGCTGGATTGCACATTTTGCCCACCCCTGTATTAGACTGTTTTGCTAAGTAAAGAGTGTTATGAAGAGCTGGTTGCAGAAAATGACCTTGGACAAAATGATCACAACTTCATTCAGTTTAAATTAAATGGAAGGTTAAATAAAAAAAGCCTTGTAAATACCTTCTTGATTTCACAGAAGCAGAACTGGATTTTTTAGTTCTTTACTAATTAGTGAAGTCAATGAACCTGAGGAGCTCAGGGATGCAAATGCAGCAGAGATCTAGATTTTTTTTACATCAATGCTACTGAGAGTATCTGGAATTTTTATACTAAGCCAGGGAAAAAGCTTGCAGGAAAGGGCTCTGAATCAAACTGAATAAATAGTCACCACAGAGACAATATTATGAATACGCAAACTGTCTACAAGGAATGCAAAAGAAAGTGAGAACTGCCCAAAGTCAAGTTGAATTACAACTTGTTATTAGAGAATATTCAAACACATAAATTCTTCAGCTATATAAATCAAGGGAGAACAAGCGAAGAAAAATAAGAATAGGTAGAGATAAATTAAGAATGAACAAAAAGTTAATGAATTCTTTGTTTCAGTTTTCACTAAAGAAAAATGGTATTGAACACTGCAAAGGCAAGGTAGCTATCAGGAGTGGGATATGGAAATGGAGATTTTCATAACTGAAGCAGAATCTTCCAGAAATGGAGTTAGATCTTATTTGGGCAGGGGTTTAGCAGGCAGGGTTAAGTTTAGGGTTACTGTTCTGTCATCTACTATTTTACATCAATATTTGATCTGTTTTTGTCTATGTTACCTGTTTATCTTGTTGTTATTGTAAGTTGCCCTGAGCCGTTTTGGGGAAGGTGCCATCAAAATCAAATAAATGAGTAAGTCTCAATAAGCTGGTATCAGTCTACACTGAATACTCTCCATCCCAGATTTCCAAACGCCTTGGCATATGAAAATGCAGGTTCAGCAGCAAGTGTTTTTAATCTATCTGTCTATTAAATCAGAGGTATTACCATTGTGACTGTCTACATTTAAAAAGGAGAGTGGGTGGGAAACGATGAAGGTAACTACAGGCCCATTAACCACCTCAACCAATGGGCAATACTGAAAGAGGAAGTCCCAGGCTGATGGGATGCTACTAATAGAATTCCTTCAGGACTGCCTTGGGGCTGATCTTGTTTAATGTTATCATTAATAAACCAGAGGTAGGGTAGTGGTAAAATTTGCTGGTGACATAACATTAGGAAGCACTGTCAGTTACTGTACAGAAAGAACTGGATGATTTTGTGGAGGGAGTAATAGAAACAGGATAAAAATCTGCACCATAAAGTGTCACGCACTTCAGGACTAATACATTTCCTGTAATATACTGGTAGGTCATCTGTTGGAAACTATTGAAGAGAAGGGCCTGGTCATTTTAGTTGATCATAGCATGATTATGAGCTGTCAATATGACAAAGATGTGAAAAGGGCAAATGCCCTAGGATGTATCAGACAACGCATTTCCTGGCAAAATACTTCCACTACAGACAGGGAACTATTCGTGTAATTATTTAAAGCCTTGTTAAGATCTCATTCAGAGTACTGTATACAGTTTTGTTCACAATGTTCAGAAAAGGATAATTCACTCTGAAATAGGTGCAAAAAAGGGCTACTTGATGAAAAGACGAATGGACAATGTAAGGCACATGAGAGAGCTAAAAGAACTTGGCTTCTTTAGTCTAGCAAAATGAAGGTTAAGATGGCATATGACTGATGTCCAGATACACCAGAATATGAAAACAGGGAAGAGGAAGAGCTATTTAAATGAAAGGACAATGCAGGTACAAGAGCAAACATATAAACTAACCATGATGAAATATATGCCAGAAAACAGGCTCCTAACCAGAGCAACGGTATCTGACTACTAGTACTGGGAGTAAAAAAAGTAAGTGGCAGGTGGAGGAAAAGGGCCTGTGTGATGAGGCTGTCATTTCAGCAGGGACACGTAGTTGTTAACCATGGTAGTTTGAACTCAGGCAGAAGGTAGGGTAGGGTGGCACCTTAGGCCCCCTCTACACATGCAGGCAAAGATGTTATGGGATCCAGTGCATGATCCACACAATTGCACCTCCACCATTGTGATGGCCAGAACCAAAGAAATTAATAAGCAATAAATATGTGCTTCTTGGAGCCATTTGGAACTTTTTTCTAATATGAAGCTTGTATTTTTGTAACCCGCAAATGTAACTTGTAACTGTTTATGGAACTGACTAGGCCTCAAAAGACAAAGCTCTAGCTGTGAAGTTAGCTGACCTAATAGTTCTCTCTCACTCAGAATTTAGCCTTGATGCTGATAAAAACTGGATTCAACTGCCCAGCTTATCTAGTACTTTTCAAAAAAGGACATCTCAAAAAGGCATAGTCAGAGAGTTTTGAAGGGGCTGGATTTAGGCGGGGTAATGTTAATTTTAAATCTGAAGATGTTGTGTTGCAATTTGCTTATTGGATCAACCCAAGCTTGGGCAATAACTTATTATAATAATTTCTAACACCTTTTAACCCCATAGGATAACAGCTATAAAGCAATATTATGAATGGCTGTAACTAAAAAATTAGCATAATTAGAATATAAAAGAACACACACGTCACAGTAACCCTCGGGAAGGACAGAACAGAAGGGTCATTGCTGTCCCATACCCCACGGATATCTCTTACTCCCTGTGAGAGTGAGAACCAGATCCTGACTGAGGGGCTTCCACCGGTATCCTTTGAGCAGCCCAGTTCAGAGACATCTGACTTCGCTGATTCTACTTGCCGTGCATCTTCTAACCGAGGGACTACCGATAATTACTAACCAAGTGGGAACTCTTGGTTAATTTCTTTATCTGTTTTATTATCATTGTCAATTTTAATCTGTATTGTTATGTTGTTTGCTTATTAGCTTAACCTTTTCTTAACTATCATATATGCAAACTATATCTTTTGTTGTCATAAGTAAAATTCATTCTTTTTTGTAAGTGAAACTTGTCATTTCTTTCCTTTCCAACATCACCTTCTTGATCCTGAGCCAAAAAGCCCAGTGGCTAATAAAGCTGCAGTGCTCAGTCAGTCTGCAACTAAACTGATATATTCACAGTGCCCAGCTGGCCTGTGACACACCATGCTACACATGCATGATAGGAGGCATGACTGTGGGACTGTACATTAGAGTCTATCACATTTTATTCCCGGTGCAAGGGGAGCCTAATCCCAGGCTCCCCTTGCACCAGCAAAAAGCATGCTCCCATGGTTGGGAGCCCCATCAGTTGACTCAACAATCTACTTTACACCCCTAACAAATACTATTTTGACACGGAAATGTCTCATATGGGATGCTACGTAATTACTGACGCAAAAATAGACATTTTTTTCTCTATGAGTACTCTCTGCACTCCAAAATATGCTATGCTCTTTTAAAAGCTGTCCTCAATTTTAACTTGCTAAATTCTTCCAACTTTAGCTAATATGCCCCTGCTGATCCTGCAGTAGAGTCAACTTTATTGTATATTATGCTGTTCAGAACTATGCACAAGACAATTTACCACATGAATCCCAGACCCTACTGTAATGATGTAGCTTTGTGTTGGGTAGTGTGGTAACAAGTGTTAAACCCTGTGCTTAAAGAGCTTGTCTGAATTGGATAATAGCTAAATTTAACTTCCCCAATGTGGTTTTCACTCTTAAGGGGTCTTCACTGCACAACACTTGTATGTATGGCACATGGATATCAAGATCCTTGCTGACATACCCAGAGCATTTAACATGATTCTGCAGCATTATAGTCAGGGAAAGGGCCATAATCTTTTAGCTCCCAAAACACAGACCTGTATAATATAAGTTGAGAGAGATCTCTTTTAGTGAATTCTGATCATAAACTATAATCTCTTGGTGATCTGCAATATAGGACAATGCTAGTTCATGTATGCTGTCTTGTACATGTAAAACAAAAGCATCACTGTACTCTGAAGGACTCACACATTCATGTAGTATACTTTGTT